AGATGAAAAGACAAGGAAAAATGGGGTTGCCTTCATAGTAAAAAAAGCAATTTCTAGATCCATCTTGAAGTACAACATCGTGACAGGATTATATCCATATACTTACTCTATAAATTAAGTTCCAGAAAACATGTTTAAGGAAAAATTTTTACCTACACTTAGAGTCTACTTTTTTAGATTTTAACATAGGGTAAAAAAGCTGTTTTATTAACATGATGAGGTATGAGCCTACGCAATAAATATTTTTTAAAAAGTGAACTGGGAGGGGCAGGGGGTGAAATGTGCAACAACGAAAACCCAACTTTTCTATAAACTTTCATTAAAATGAGATGCAAAATAAAAAGTATGAACTTATAAATGTACTGACAGTACACAGAGGCAATAACTTAAAATAGAGGATAGAAAAAACAAGCAAAAGCATCTTCCCAATTAATCAACAACAAGGAGGCAGTTCACAGCTGAACAAAAGGAAAATCAGTGGGATATAGGTAAGAAACAGATGAAGTTTGGAGAAAAGTAAGCCAGCAAATCTTCCAGCAAAATGATTCTCTCTCATCTGCTTATTTAGATTTAAATACATACATATGAACCATAAAAGAAGCACAAATAAGAAGTCATACCTTTCAGGCCTAAAGTCTGCAACTGAAACAGTTTTCCCAGCTCAAAAGGCAGAACTCGTAACAGGTTGTTATTTAAATGCAGTTCCCTGTTGATGTAAAAAAATCCAAGAAGTCAAAAGACACATTCACTTTTAACTAACAGCTAAAATACACAATACAACTTTTAGGAACACAAACTCCTAGAATGACAAAATTTCATTTTTATTCCATTATATGGTACAGAGGCTGCAAACTCTGTGGCAACAGACAAAAAATGGAGAAAAACAAGTTACTAGAAAAATTAAATGAGAAAGAAAAAAAAATATAAGCCTCAGTTTTAAAAACACCTATTGGAGTCAACATGCATAGTCCAATTCCCCCCCCCACCAAATCTCATTGCAGATTAGCAGCAGCCTGAAAACTAGTACCAGTCCAAAGACCACCCACCCTATGACTTCACTGGTCTACCATACTTCAGATCAAACCATTTCTCAGTTTAGGGAAATGAAAATTATAGCACAGCTTAACATGAATTATTCAAAGAGAATTCAAATGACCTGCAGTACCAACTCAAAGGAATTTTGAGAGCTACACAATTAAGATTATGTTTCTAGCAGTCATTTTAATTACTAATGATTATTTTAATTATGTTTTACACAAGTATCATAGTAACAATGAAATCTTTGGGGGAGGGTAATACCAGACACTTAACACTGAAATAGTTGTAATTTCCTACATTTATCAATTTTAAGTACGAAGGCAAATTACTTATGCAACCTTTGGTTCTTAAAATTTATAAGAATCTTGGTTATTCCTGAGCAAACTAGAGGTTGGTGAGGGCATAAAAAGAACAAGAAAAACTAGTTTTCAGTAATTTGTCCCCGTTTCCAAATACATAATATGAAAAAGGAAGCCCTTATAGTAAATTTGGCTCAGGGGATGAAAAATTGCAGTAGTATATACGCAATAACTAAGTTTAGAAAACAGAGGCAAAGAAACACCCACAGAGCTGAAGTTCCTTATTCCTTTTTACTGGTCGAAGGCAGCAGAAAAGTTGAGTATAACAATTGAGAAACATCAGGTAATATGAAATGGGGCAAGATAGTCCCCTAGAATCCGCCAGATTTACTAAACCAGAATTTGGCTTTAACTTGGCTATCATCAGCCACTCGGTGTGAAAGATGAGCTTGCAACAATAAAGATTTGGAGCCTTGGAAGCCCAACTGGGAAGTTTTATTCTGTTCCATAGTGTTATAATAACTCAAAATTAACTAGAAGATAGTGGGCTTAATTAAGTGGTTGTTTTTAGATTTTACCCTTTATCTCAATCTTACTGGGTAGATATTAAAGCAACGTACAGATGAGGAAATAGGCTTATTAGCAAGGTTAAGAAATTTGCCCAAGATCAAACAACATATAAATGGCAAAGCCAAAATGTAAATCTCAACTCTATAAATCACATGCTCTGTCCCATAATACATCTGATTTTAACTCCCTAAATTCAATCAACCCTCCTTTCTTTCTCTTCCAGGCACTAATACTGTCATGCATACAAGCCCTGAGACAGCAAAAAGATTTCATGGGGGGAAAAAAAAAGATTTCATGGTTTCCTGGAGTCTGTGTTAAGTACCATATGTTATCCCAAAATATAATGGCCAAAAATACCAGCATGGTAAATGTCTGTACAGGTGAGTATATGTGAAACATAGTACAAATGCCTCACATTAATTTACCCCTATTCTCCTGAAAATTTTAGCTTAAAAATGTATTATATAAAACATAACAAAAAAGAGGTATAATGGAGCTACTTGATTTATTATTTTTTTAGCTGACTTTAAATCCACCAAAAGACTTTACATGAAAGATAGTTATGTTTCAATATTATTAAATTGTTAATTGCTTTTTGATAACAAAACTAATGCTATATTCTAGGTGTGTTATAGTTATGCTTTACATCAATCTGCATACCTGAGTGATACCATGTTTCCGAGTTCTGCTGGTAAACTACGAATTTTATTAGAAGATAGGTCCAGATACACCAGATTATGAAGCTTGGCGATGTCTGAAGGAATGCGAGACAGAGAATTGTCACTCAGATGCAAAGCTGTCAAGTGAGTTAATGACCACAAAGAGGAGCTTAAGCTTCGCACTTTTCCTGTAAGAGAAACAAACAAACAAAACAGGGTAAGAATTATATAATATTCATGGCACAGTTTGTAAGGAGTTACACTGTTAATGCAAAAGTGGATTTGAATCCACTAGTTTCTCCTTTGGGAGAAAGAAGGGCAACCTCCTCCAATTAGATGTAGGTTCCAGGTATTATGGGACTATTTTATTCTGTTCTCTTTATTAGGCCTGCCTTCAAGGCAAGTATTTTAATGGCATCTACCTGACTCGATGCTATCAAAGCCTAATCCAACTAAAAGGAGCCCTTATAGTACCAGGTTAAGTACTAGGCTAGCTGAAAGGTATCCAACTCTAGCACCTTATATTGCACCTCCACTAGCGTAGAGTCTGCCATGCTCCTAAACAGAAGGCCAAGTGACTGGTAGTTGAATCTGCCAGGAGTTCTGTGGGAGAAAGTGGGCAGTCTTGATCCACTAATATTTACAGTCGAGGAAACCCAATGGAGGGTTGCAGTGAGTCATAACTCAAAGGTAGTGAGTTTCAGAGGTTTTTAGACCTTTTAAGGAGTTTTGGTGTCCTAGTGGTAAAGGAACATGGTTCAAACCTACCAGCAGCTTGGCAAAAGAAGGATGTCCTCCCATGCTATTAAACTGCCTCAATACCTGCGGAAGGGTCAACTATGAGTCTGTTATGACTCAATGGCACACAACAATAACTGCACTCTTAGTGGGAGTGAAGGGAGGAAAAACACCTTCTCTGCCCAAACAAATTTAGCTGAGAAATACTTGTCAATGTTGTCACAGTCCCAGAGAAACAACTTTATCACATCAAAAGGGCTTCTGGCCAAAGACTCCATACTTTCTAAAGCCACTGGGGGCTGGATAAATCCCTAAAACTGACATATCTTTAAAACACAGACCAAAAATACCCCACTGAAATCTTATTAAAATATGCAGTTTAGCCTAACTAGTGAAAAAAATGTCTATCTTGAACATTATACTCTTCTAAGAACTACCATATGGGATCAAATGGACAAAGGCAACTTGAAAGGTGAAAACTTTGAGGGGACAAGAGTATTTATATTAATGGCAAAGAATGAACTCAGGAAAGGGGGTTAAGAATAGTCAGACATTTGAAGAACTGTAATCAATGTCACTGAACTGTACATGTGAGAAGTGAGTGAACTGGTGTACGTTTTGCTATGCATATTCTCAACAACAAATTTTTTTCAAACTCCCCACAAAAACCAAAATATACTCTGTTGTTGTTATGGGCCACCAAGTTACCTGTGACTCACAGCAATCTTATGAACATTAGCTCTGAAGCCTGCTCAATTATGAGCTAATCTTATCATCTTCAACAGACCTAATTCCACTTCTCCAGATACTGTGTCAATTCATCTCATCCTGGGTCTCCCTCTCCTGCGCTGTCCCTTCACCCTTCCAAGTATGATGTCCCTCTCCAAAGATTGGTCTCTCCTGGCCAAGGGCCCAAAGTATGTGAGATGCAGCTTCAAAATCCTCCAGGGAACAGCACAGTTTCACCCTCTCCAGGACAAACTTGTTTGTTGCCCTGACAGTCTACAGTATGTTCAAAAGTATTCTCCAGCATCACAACTGAAAGACATTGATTCTTCTTTGATCATCCTTAGTTACTGGCCAGCTCTTGGATGCATAGCAAGTAAATGCGAAGATCACGACCCAAATCGGGGGCACCCTGGTCTCCAGACTGCTCTTCAGTACTCTAGAGAGGTCCCTGACAGCAGACTTTCCCATTGCAATTCATCTTTTGATTTCCTGACACTGCTGATGCCAAGAGTGTTGACTGTAGAACCGAGCAAGCTGAAGTTATCAATAATCTCAATCTCTTCTCTGTCCATCAAGCTTCCAATTGGCCCAGTGTTGACCATATGAATAAAAAAACCAAAGCCACGCATAACAGGATTTCTATGTATTAATGGCATAGAACCAAAAAAAAAAAACTGCAAGAGTTTTCTTATTCAATAAATTATATAAAGAGACTCAAAGACAAAAAAAAAAAAAAGGAGGAAATACAAGGAAATGAAAGAAATTTCCAACAATAACCTACAGTTTCAGGAAACAACACAGCCTAAAGCTTAGCCAGATAAAATAAAACCTCACTTTAAACAGTTTTCTACCTAAATTCCTTTTACATAATCTATGACTATGTACAAGTTAACAAAGCATGCAAGGAAACAAAAAATAGGAGAGAAACTAAGCATTAAAATTTGATCAAGATAGAATTAGAAGTTTTTGGATTATCAGATAAAGAATTTAAAATAAAGATAATAATCAGGGTTCCTTAAGTGTTGCAAAAGGTTAAACATTAGTATAAGTTCAAACGTTGAAAATAGGAAGCACCCAGAAGCACCTGGGAAGACAGACCTGGAGACTGGCTTCCAAAAGGTCACAACCTTGAAATCTCTGCACACATGAAATCACCATCATAAAGAATTGGATTGATGGCAACTAATAACAAAATTATTATTAATATGCTAAAAAATTTAATGAGAAAAGTAAACAACAGAATAAATGCATGTGGTTAGAGTGCTGGGATGAGAACCAATGAGCCAGCAGTTTTAACTCATCAGCTGCTCTGTGGGAGAAAGATGCAATAATTTGTTTCTTTGTTGGTTTTTTTTTAACACCTGTGTGTGTTTGTGTGTTCAAATCGAATCTGAATGGTACAGGAGGAGATTGTTCCTCTTTCTCCAGCAGATGATCTGGTGAATTTGAACCACTTACTTCTGTGGTTACAATAATTTGTTTCTATAATGATTTTTTCAGCCTTGTAAGTAAGTCCTATAAGATTGCTATGTATGAGCTGGAACTCGCTTGAAGGCTCCGGGCTTGATTTGGGTTTTGATAAGCTGAGAGATGGAAACCGAAGGCGAAATATTAAAAAACAAATGCTAAAAGCAAAAACTGCTGTTAACAACAATAGAGAGTATGTTTTTTAGACTGAACTGGGTAAAGAAAAAAGAGGGGAAAGAATAAGCTTGAAAACATGTCAGAAGAGAATTCTGATACTATAAAACAAAGAGAAAAAAGAATGAAAACGATGGGACAAACTATAAAAGACTTTTACAGAACTACAAACAGCATAACAGATGCATAGTGAGACTCCTCAAAGGAAAACAAAGAGAAAACATTTGAAGAAATAATGACAGTTTTCCAAAATTACTAAGACACCAAAACAGAGATTTAGGAAGCTCAAAGAAAACAAAGCAAGATTTAAAAACAAACAAATAAAAAACAAAACTCAAACAATACACCACCCTAACTAGGCTTTTCTATTTAAATTTCAGAAGAATCAGACAAAATCTTCAAATTCAGAGGGGGAAAAAAATCACAAAGGAACAAGAATAAGAATTACTTCTTTCAGAAATCATATAAGCAGAAACAACTGAAGTATTTAAAGTGTTGAAAGAAAAGATTCTAACTGAGAATTCTGTATTAAGAAAAAGTATACTGGAGAACCTCTACAACCAAGAGAAAATAAAATAGATGAATGAGACTTTCTAAGAATCAAATCCCTATGCACATCCAAAATCTTCTCCAACAGGGTAGAAAAGGGAAGCCACAGACTGGAAAAAAATTTTTGGTAATGACATGTCAGATAAAGGAGTTCTATCTAGAATTTATAAAATTCTTGAGCACCACAAGATAAACAATCCAACTGAAAAATGGGCACAGGATATGAACAGACACTTCACCAAAGAAGACATTCAGATGGCCAACAAGCACATGAAGAAATGTTCAAAATCCCTAGCTCTAAAAATCCCTAGCTCTAAGAGAGATGCAAATCAAAACAACTATGAGCTATCATATCACCCCAGTAAGATTAGAAAAAGTTAACAGAACAGTAAGCAACAAATGCTGGCGAGGTTGTGGAGAAACTGGAAACCTTAATGGTGCAACCACCGTGGAAAGCGGTATGGCACTTTCTCAAAAAGCTGCAAACAGAGATACCATTTGACCCAGCAGTTCCACTACTGGGAATATACCCCAACGAGACTATAACTAACACTCAAGCAGATATATGCACACCCATGTTTATTGCGGCTTTGTTCTCAATAGCAAGAAGTTGGAAACAACCTAAGTGCCCAACAACACAGGAATGGACAGAGAAACTGTGGTATATTCACACATGGAATACTACGCTGCATTGAAAAACAAGGAACTCACGCAATATTATTAAAAATGGGTAACCCTGAAGGACATTATGCTGAGTGAAAGATCTCAGTCACAAAAGGACAAATACTGCATAGTGCCACTGTTGTAAAACAGGACTGACAATGAGGTTGGGGTGAGACTGAGAAAGATGGTATAAATAAAACAAATGAGGGAGAGAAATGTTTAAAAGGGATATGTGATTAGGTATTATTGTCATGACAGGAGTCCAGAATGAAGGCTGTATAGTGGAGTAGACCTGGAGGGAGGGATTATAAAACAATGTAAGAATTTTTCTTTTACTCTTCAAAGAGAAGAGTATACTGGGGGGGTAAGGGGAGGGCAGGGAGAAAAGTGCAACAATGTATGAATGGAAATCCAAAGTCTCTGTAAATTTTCATTAAAACAAATAATAATTAAAAAATTTAAAAAAAAAAAAAAGAAAAGAAAGAAAAAGTATACTGGAGAACCAAGATGGCAGTGGCGGGGGCAGACGAAACAGCATAAGGAGCTAGAGGAGTGGCAAGCTACATAGGAACGGGCTACCATGGCCCCCCACAGTTAATAGATAACTGAACAATTAAACAGTTGATTACTGGTCTTTAATATGGCTCAAGGTTCAACATTAAGAGGACAAAGACTGCCAAAAAAGAATAGGTGAGTCCCATAGCTCCCAGCCCCCCTACTGCTGAGCCCAAACCACCACTGCAGCTCCATGGGGCCTCCGTGGCCAGATCCCAGGGATCCCCTGGTTTTGATTGTTTTTGGTGTAACACTCTTCTAAGTGTCAGTTGGCTGTACAGAGGTAACTCTTGGCTGCTGTGAGGCTAAACAC